TTTGATCCCTTTATTTCTTCTGTGCTATAGTGGAAACAAGAAAACGCTGACTTGAATTGTTCCCCACAGGGACCACTAGCCATTCCACCAAGACATGGGCAATTCCAATTGATATCTCCATTGGGCAAAATCAATCCTGAACAAACAAAAGAGAGAAGAAAAGTTAAGTGCTCCTTTCAAAAATTAATTTCATCCCACGAAAGCTGCTACACTGCAGGTGTAATCTGAAGTACTAGTATCGCCATACTGGTTCTGTAGCTTCAAGAGTGCAAATCGCCTTCCATTTTCTGGCTAGTCTGCTTCTATCTGATCTGTATGATCCATTACTGGGCTCAAGCGAGACAAGTTCCATCTGCATGTCTGAATTAAGTCTTTCTCCCTTGACTACAGATTGTTGAGAATATGCTAAAAAAATTCCAATGTGTCAAGTTAATCCACTCAAAAGACCTGTCAGAAGAGCATGCAAGCCTTAAAATGTTCTCATCCAAGTCATGAGAATTTAATACCAGTATTAAGAATAGAACTCTTAAATCAAGCTGGATGGATGCTCTTTTCTTTTCTTTTTAAATGAACTCTGGAATACTAAATCACAATTTTCTCCTTAAAATTTGAACAGAAAAACTAGAATCACAAAAATGAGAATCACATGCACAGAGCAAGTCACATGCCACAGAACAAAAGGAATAGTAAGAGCATGCCAGCATGCCTAGTTCACCCCCCCTCCCCCCAAAAATGCAAAAAAATCCCAGTGTTTTAGATTACAAATGAAAATGAGTTCGATCTCATTCTAGTCTCTAAATACACTGGAATAGCTACAAGTTTCTGCTCTGGAACAGTTAAATACTTCAGTAGTGGAAGATCAAGGTGGAGATTTAAATTAGCAATGTTCTTTGAGATATCAATTGATATGCATGAGAGAGTTCCAGCAGAAAGCCAGGAAATATTTCCCCTGTACGTTCTGGAAAGCCTTTTAAACTGCCAGGCCTAGAAGCGTAATACAATGTTCATGAGGGCTTCTAGAGTCTCTATTATATTGCTTTAAGTAAGCAACCGATACATCTTCCTTCCCTTTCTCTACTTCACATGAGCATACATGCAGTTATGCTCATCTATAAAAAAAAAACCAACAGAAACACTGTGCTATGATCCAAGTTTGTTTCTTCCCTACTTTGACAGTTTTCTGTTCTCTTCTCTAGAAGTTAGTTTCCTAACTTCAACTCCAGGTTGAGCTCCTGGCAGGAACTGACAGCATGTGCATAAAACTGAAGTTTAAGTGCTTTCCTTTTAGAAACAGGTATGCAACTATTGTTACCAGAGAACAGAGTTGCATCAGTTCTTATCTGAACAGTAAATTATATTTAGGGCCAGGTGCAACCTAAAACTCTACCACAGACTTCAGTAAGCCTACTTATTGTCTTGTCCCATGGGATCATGAAGTTCCAGAGATGCGTTTCACTCTCACTAGTACCTCCTTGGACACTGGGCCACAATATTATGAATCTTACGTTTTGGTAGAGCAATAGCAAGCCAACCATATTTATTGTTATATTAAGAGGAATGAAAGGAAAAATTCACCCTAATTTGCAATTCCCCTATCATTTGCTCTAACTTGGTCAACCCAGTTCAGCATAAAGTTACATCGAGTTAGTCCTTTCTCAGTGTTGACCAGTTTCCTTTTTGTTACAGCAAGTAACAGTCTCCTTGGCATAACTCTGTGAACTGCCATAATATTGTCATTTTTCATAAGCCAAGCTTTATCCAACAGGATAATTGTGTAAAATATCTGTGATAATCACTGTACCAACAAGATATACCTACTACAGTGTATCATGGCATCTCTGGTTGCCTGGAAGAAAAGCAGAACCGCTGAGACAAGGAAATGGATGGTTGGTGCCAGATTCTTTATTGCCAAGAATGACATAAAGCAGAAAGAAGAGACATTGATCATGCAGCGTAGAAAAAATATGGTTTGCGTTGTAAACTAGATTTTGAAGTTCTGTATTCCTCCCCACCGACATCAACCAGTCATTTTAAACACTCATTTTTGTAATACTTCCAAAACTCCTATTGTGTTGTTTTTGAATATTCCTGAAGACATCACAGCAATAAAATTACTCATCAAATAATGCTCTTAAAATAAAAAAAAAGAAATTGTTCATTTTAAAATCAAAATTGCCTTGTGAACATGCAAATTTTAACAAAGCAGGGGTTACCCCTTAACATATGGGCACTGAATTGTACCTATTTGATCACTTAAGTGGCATCAGTTTATGGTGCTATTTGCACAGAAACTATCTTTTAAAAAGCAAACAAATAAGGCAAACATTTCCTCACTGATAATTATAGCAGAATGCATACTTAAATGATTAGGTGTATCAGCTAGCTTAGAACACAATTAAAAATCAAAACAGATTTCATCCATTACTCTCCTTTGAAGCACAAGTCTACAATACATAGGGTGATTATTTTTAATTCTCTGAATTAAAACATCTTTCAAATGCAGCCTGAACCTCACTGATCCAGTGCGTCACAATCTACTTGCGTCTGCACTTGGGAAAGAAAAACCCACCCTGTTTATATCATAACAAATCAAGGCTTGGTTTAGCCATTAACTGCTGACCTCACACATCCTAATCTCTTTCAGCTCAGGGAATCTGTTAATATCATGGGTGAAGGCATAACATCTGCATTAATGTCAATAGTTGTCTTTGTACTTGCCATAACAAAGTCCCACTCTTGTTCTGATAAAACTTTCTTCCATGTTACAAGCTAAGCATTCCAATAACAAGCTTATCTGCCAACGTGAGATGACAGAAACACAGGAAGCAGGACTGAAAGAGACTGCGTAAGTTATAAAAACAGTCCTGTACATCTGATCATTCATTTTATCAAGCTCTTCTTCAAAAGAGCTAAAGAGTTTTTGCTTCACCAGTCATCTGTGGAAACCATTACAAAACTTTGCCGCTAAAATAAGATGACCAGAATAAGTCTGGAGAAACAGAAAGGAGACAGGACAGCAACAGCCTGTACCTGCGGTACAGTTCTTTAAGCACTTTTAGCCAGCCTTCTTACTGCATCTCTGATGATAATAAATATTACTTTTCATGCAAAAAACTCACTAGTGTCTTCTTCACAGAAGTCAACAAAAATAAATCATTCTAAATCACTGGAGCAAAGACCTCAATGAAAACTAGAGATCTTTCAGGTTTAAATTTCTCCATTTGCAACACATAACATCAAACGCAAGCCTTCCAGTGGAAATACTAGTTTTTAATTTCTGCAACTCAATACTGCTGCAAATGGATTCTTAAGTTGTTTCCATCAGCCACAGCTGTTAAAAGACAGGTACAGTGAACTTCACTGAGATGCTCTGTGAAACAAAACATAAATTTGAACCTACTCTGGTCTGTGTGACTTCCCATTTCACATGGCCTCATCAGATGGTATTTTTCCTTCAGTGCATTTAGCTCAGAGTGATTCTGTATGTTCAGATTTTGGCTACTGAAACTTCACAACTGATAGGACAGAAATCAAGAAAAGAACTCAACCCAACTTTATTTTCTCCCAAGAGAAACAGAGCGTGAGATTTCTTTGGTCTACTGACCAAAGCCCAAAGACTAATATTTGTTAATGCCTCATAAAAAATAAGAACTATGGAAAAAAAAAAACCTCTACATTTTTATCTTAAGTATGAGAAAGGCCCCTACAATAAATGTGACATCCCAAATAAGTTGTAAATTTAATCGGTATTAGAAAACAATACAGATTATGGTATATTTATATATAATAAACCTATTTTTTCTTAGATATAACTGTTCTTTATATAGTACAGCAGAAAAGATCAAAAGAATTATTAGGGTGAATTACGCCACAGAAGTTGAACGCTAGAAACCAAGTCTTCCATTCAAAGTAGAAGCTAAATTAGAAAAGCCTGCATGTTACTTTATGCACAGCAAAGCCTTTTCCAATTTTCTTTTAAATAAAAACCACACACGAGACAGAGCTTCTGCACTACAACATATTCCAAAATGTTTTGCCCATACATCTTTTCTGCGCACAAATTTCTCTCTCATTAGATGCAGTTACCTTCTGTGCCATGTGAATTGTTTCTCTGTTTTGATCTGCTGCACTGTAGCCTCAGACAGCTCAAGTGAGAAGTTTTCACAGAGCCCTTAAAACACAGCAGTAACTTACCACATGCTAAGAATAAGCTTAAGAATAAGTATTTAAGCACACACAAAAATTCACTTTCTGAGTCATACAGATACACATGTTCATCGTAAGGTTTCCCTGATGTAACTAGCTTTTGGCTTTTTCTTCTTTTCTACCCTACAGCATAGGAAGCAGGTGATTTAAGGATTGCTAAGAAAAAGAAAATTATTATTCACAACCACCTCTCCATATCTAATAAAATGCACATAGACAACTCATTGAATACAACATTTAAACAAGGAGGAAGTGGCTCCTTTGATTTTGGTTAGTTTGTTATCCAAATAAATGGCACAAGCTTATATACTCATTACATATGCACAACTAGAAAAAGAATAATTGAGGGTGGGGAGGAAAAAGAGGGAAGAAAAAGAAAAACTCCCTCTTTAGAGGTCCCAAGAGAACTACACCCCATGTTCACATTCCAAGCCTCTGTAGTGTATCTTTGTATTATGCTAGATGACCCAAATGATGAGGTGGACACTTTTCTCTTTCCTCTGAGAATCTGGTGTCAGAGACAGACCTTTAATTTTAGGACAAATATGCATCCACATGCTATTGCTAAATGGATGCTTTTTGTAGAACAGAATACTTTTTTAAGGATAAGAAAGACCTTAAGTGATTATAAGTGGGAAGATAGGCAAACTTTAAACAACCACATATAACCTCAAGACAGCCTGCATACATGAATTTACGTAGCTAAACAGCAGGCTACTTTGTTTAGCCACATCTCACAAGGTGACTTAACAGTTCAGTGAATGATAAGATCTCCAGGGGCTTGCATGTTCCCCAGATGTGATATCTAGAAAAAGTATCTTTTTTTTCCCCTTTGTTTTGCAAGCAGCCTCTAGTTTTTTCCAGAGGGAGACAAAAAGCCCCAGGCCAAAGAAAAGGAGTTGAGAACGTAACTCCACCATCTGATCATTAAAGGCCGTTACTTCTACACTTTACAGACAAATAATAAATTTTTAACACGTCTGAGACAGAATTTTAAAATTCAGATTTTGTTTCATTTCTACACAATATACTAACCGGAGTAAACACTGTTTTAAAATCAGTTCTCCTCAGATGCTGTTCTCCACATAAGGATGAATGGCTTTACAAGAATCATTTGTAGGATCCATCTTCCCGCCAAGGCAAGACAATAAGAGATACAAGTGCAACTCAGATTTAATTGCCTATAAGGCGTCTCTATCTGAAATCTTTAGGAGCTGAAGCACCATCCTCACAATGGAGATGGCGGCACATCCCAAAGCACAGATGCTGTCCACTAAATAGGTAGTTTGGGCACTGGCTCTTAGCCAGTAACACATCCTGCCCAAAAATATGAGGGATAGAGGAATTCCTGATAGATACTAAAATTCAACTTCTAAACATCTTTCTGAAATAAGACACAGCCACTGATGGCTTGGGGGAGAACAGAGAGAAAAAACAGCTTTTTCTTTTCACCTCAGGAAGGGTGTCAGGTTAACCTCAATCACACTAACCCTGCCAGATATTTGAAAAGCCAGTGAAACTTACTGTTGAAGCAACATATCCAGTGTTTATTTGTCAGTAAAGAAAAAAAAAAAAATTTCTAAGCATGTGTTTCTCTGAAGCGGATTTAAAGTTGAAAGATTTAATCGCTCTGTTTCTGTTACTGGTTTTCACAAGAATATCCACAAGCTGTTTTGTGAGCCTCTTCCCCAAGGTGATTCTGCCTTGGGTCAGCCAACAGTGCTTCTGTATTTATAATGTCTTGGGTTGGACATAAACTTCACACCTTTCAAACCATGTTTAAATATTCTTTCTAGGAAATGAGTATTGCATCCTGATCAGGCATGCTTTAGAATACATTCTAGCAGGCTGTGATCAGATCAGAGAAGGAATTTAGAATTCAGAGCATCTCTGACAATAACGTCTAATTCTTGAAAAGGAAGGTCTGATACTGATTTCAGCGTACTATGGAAAATTTCCTATTAGACTTCAAATAAGTTCATTCATTCAGGTAATGATCTAAAAGAACATAAAGTTTCTATACTCTCTCCTCATTGTTTTCAGTTGGGTCATTACCAAACTGAACAGACTCATTGTCTGGAGAATAAAATCTTTAGATGTAACTGCTGACTGTGCATACTGTTTTAATGAAGCTCTAAAACTGAGACAGGCAGCTAAATGCAGAATGATTTTAACATAGATCTATGCATGAAAACTAAAAGTTATTTTAATGACATAAAAAGATATGGTTCCAATTAAACTACATATCATGTCAGCTAACAAAGCACCCCTGTGTGCTCCAGCTGCTAAACCTTGCATAAACACTGCCCTCTAAGGGTTTCAGAGCCACTTGCAGAGCTTTTATTTTTTTTTTAACAGAATTTCCAAAACGGTAAAGGGTTTATTTCCATCTCAGCTGAATTAAAAGCAATGAGATCGCCTTCACACAAAGAGATGAAGAAACTAAAGCCAAGGTAGGCAGCTGAGTGAAGTGACCCAGTTTTCCTGAACTGCTCATAGCTACGTTATATTTGGTCACAAGTTGCGATACAACACGATTTTAAAGTGAGATTCCTCAACGAAAGCTACCTAACTTAAACCAATATTTTAAAGGGCAAATGGAAGAGGCTAACAGGCCCGGAAGCATAAAAGTAATTTCATAAATGTTTAATTCAAATTCACAGATGTTCCTGACAACTTATTAACCTAGGGCAAAATTTACTTAATCATGACAGGAAGTAAGACATTTCATTTACCCAGTAGAAACAACCCAAACCATGATCTGTGCAACTTTACAAGCCTTGACCTCAAAATATCCCAGTCTCTCACATCTCCTAGATCAGTTCATTTTCAGGTTAGATATTCTTAGGGTCAGAACTGCAGTCTTCGCTGAAAGCTTAAAATAATTCTCTTCTTTCTTAAGACAGGATAGTTGCAACTGACAACTGAATAATTTAAAGTTGTCGGTCACATGTCATCAAAACATTTTTGTACTAGTCACTGATTATATTACTACTAGTACAGTACAAGATTAGTCAGATATATATAATTCATATTAAAAAGAGTATTCAAAGATCACAGAGGCAATTTTTTCTGCACATAGGCAGGTGAGCAACTCATCTCAACGAGGGTGGTGTGCATCTTGCCTAATCTTCTCTGAAAATTATACTTCATTATCTAAAGATAGTGAAAAATAACCAGATTTTTCACTGGTTATTAACGCAAGAAAAGAAAGACAGATTTTTACTGAATATCTCTTGCTACTAACTGAAACTCTGCACCATCACCTGATGTATTTGAACAGACCACGCTGAAAAATGATTAAAGTTTATAGAAAAAAAAAAAACACTGTACCCAAAGTACGTTATCTGTGACGTCCTAATTAGGAAGTTAAAATTGCTAACTTTTGGCGTTTATTTAATGAATAACCAATGGCCCTATTATCTTATTCTTTAAAAATTAATCAAGAATTTGTTCCTGCTTCTTACAAGGTTTGTTTGTTGGTGGTGGTGGTGTTGAAGATTATTAGAGTATCATATAACACGATGTAACACTCCTTACTTCCACTTCTCTGCTTGCTACTGACCTTGTTCTTCGTAAGGGTCATTTGGGTCATCTGCAACCAGCTCAGCACTGCTTGGTGTCTCATGGTCCTCTTTGGTCACAAATATAATTCTGTCTTTTCCTACCATTTAAAAGAAAACAAGTAAAAGTTCAGAGAAAGCCAAGGCACAAGAAGTCACTTACAAAGCTGCTGAACATCACGTGTTAATAGCTAATGAACACTATTTAACTTATCAATTGCCATCAACTAAAACAGTTGTTGGTTCAGAGGACCACATACAGAATGACAATTCGACAAGTATTGACAGGAATGCTGCTAAAACTTGTAAGAGACTTAGAAATAAGACCTATAAAAAACATCAACAGAAGTTCAAAAAGATTAGGTAATAATTCTTCTATAAGGAAAACAATAAGATAAACAGATCCTGTTTATCCTCTTTGTACCATACTCACATACCTGTAGGAAATTATTCTCAGTAGCCAATAGGAACAGAAAAAAAGACATAACTCAGTAGAGTGATTTATGATAAATGTTTCAGTTAGGCATTACAACTAGATGTCGAGGGAGATGGGGACAAGTTCTCATTAAACAACATGCAAGATAAAACAAGTACTCATTTCAATGGGAGACCATAATCTGCTATCAGGACTCACAGTAGTAGGAAAGGACTGCATACCATTTTTGAGTTGTGGCAGCATTTGAGAGACACCTCATAGTATTTTGAATTTTAAACCCTCCTGACCTAAAGTAGTTAGGACAGTGGGGCCAACATAGTGCAATGACAGGTGCTGGGAGCAAACAGCCCAAAATTAGATTTCTTAAGCAATGCTAACTAAATATGAAGCCACAAACACTAAATGCACAGAAGAAAACTATGAAAGTAGCAGCCTCACTCTTGGTACACAGAAAAGGGTACAAAAAAAAAGATTAAATGAGTGCTTTAAAACTATTTTAATAGTCTTAGAATATATTATAACAAATCATCCATTTACTTGCCAAAAATATAGAAGCTAACTGAAATTTTATTGCTCTAAAGTTCTAATTTTCACAGCAACATACTGTAATAGCTGCAGATCACAGAACAGTTCATTGAACAGTGAAGTTAAAAAGCTGTTTCAAAACAAGCTCAGACAACTACTCTCTTACATGGACTAGGAAAGCGTTCAGTAGGATATTCCTTAAGAACAGTAGTCTACCTTTAGACTGGTGGAATTACCTGGTGTAATATTTTATAATAGTGATCTGGAATAAAGAATGAAGTCCCTAAGTGCAGAACCAATTATATTGAAAGGTACTGTGAACATTATCAAAGACAGAAAAACAGCGCAGTGTATTTCCTGCTCTCATGCCACCCTTTATTGAACAAAGAAGTTCTGTAGGAAAAAAAGATTTAGCTGAAAGCCAGGGAAGAGTTTCCTAACAACCCTGTAAGACTACAGGGAAATCTTCTAAAGGCTAGCTCAAAAAGAAAAATGTAACACACAACCAGAAAAGAGCATCTCGCTGGAACTCTTCTGAACGCACAACTGATTATTCATTGAGTAGAAAGAAAATGGTAAGTTCCCCAAGATCTTCCTTTCATTCTCCAAATTCTGAAAGGCCGCTGCAGTGACTCAGTATATTAGAAGTTAGGATCTTCTTGCCTGTCAACATTACCTCAACCAGCAGATGTTCAAACACTCCCTTTAGTTTGCTTTGTAATCAGTACACATTTTAATGTTTTTAAAAGCAGATCAATCTAAATAGCCTAAAAAAAAGGGGGGGGGAAGGTTTTTTTTGGTCAACTGTGTATTGCACTCCAGCAGACTTTACAACGCAGAATATTCAGTGATTTCTTAAATAAAAGGAACTAGAAAGATATAAACTCTAACCCCGTCACTATAATTGTTGTAATTTTGTAGAATACTATAAGAGAACTTACAGAGGGTCCTTGCAAAGGCCCAAGATGTTATTAAAATAAACAGTAAAACAAAACAAAGAGTGGCACAGGTTATAATTACTTTACAACCATACATGGTCAGCATTCAGTGTGCCAAAGTTTGCCATTTCAAAATGGCATTTCGAACTAGAGAACGGATTTTACCAGTTTGAAATTTTACATTTAGTCATTTGACATTAGTCAAAGGAGAAACCCCCCCCCCACCCCTCAGGGCATCAGCTGGCCAAGCCTAATAAATAACATGACCCGTGCAACACAACACCTTGCACAGGCACAAAAGCATCAAGCCTCACACACCACGCTGCTCATCTACTGGGCTTTTTAATAAGGCAGCAAACTCCGGCTATTAAAGCTTGCAGAAGGTTAACCTCTGCTGGAAGCCACCGCTCCCCAGGGGAGCGCGCACGCCTCCG